AGGTAATTAACTTTAATGTGTAAACTCTAAAACCAATCTATGCACTAAATTTATTTCCATGACCATTGGGATCAATTACTTAATCCAATATCTGATCATACAAAGTTAATAATAATCATTTACATAGTTAATTGGATGGCCATTGTATTAATTTTCCTAATAATTAAAATGGTAGTTAATCCGATCAACACAACTGACTAATATATAGGTGAATATTACTAATATCAATTGCATTATATTAGAATCCAAGTTAACTAAAGGCATAATTGAATATATGTGAGAATATCTTTATATATTTTGTCTCTAAATCTAATTTCCATTTTTGTTTCATTAGATGGCATGAGGTATTTTGGAGAACTCTCTATGATTTTTGGTTACGATTTAAGTTAGGTACACTACCTATTGTTTGTAATACGGTCTAAGTTAGGTACACTCACTAACCGTAACACAACCCTTTGCTTTACTAGTTATAGTTTAATTACCAATTGAGTTATCTGATATGAATCAATCATGGTCCCTTGTGTTCAACATTTGATGTGACCATAACTATACTATTATATGATTAGGTACACTACCTATTGTGTGTAATAGTCCAATTGTGAAATAGTCAGTTTTATAAATTTAAAACTTTGGTTATTAATTATATATATAGTTAAACACACATCAAGTTTTCAGTGTTGTTTCCAGGGAACAATTTCGTTTATTTTGGTTTATTTAGTTTTCTGTTTAACATTGTATTTAGTTTAGTTTTTATTTTCTTGTGTTTATTTTTCAATGGAGTATATACAGTTTGCGATATGCTTGATATTATTCTTGAGCATGAGTTATAGGTACTAGAGCTGGAAGATGAGCCATTTGATGCGATGCCGAACGATCAAGAAAAATATTTGGAGGAACTAGAAATACTACTAGCAAAAGACTCGGATGAAGTATAACAACAAGCTGAAACTAGGAAACATGTTGTATTCCTTTTTAAGGACGAGACACGTCCTACATTGCTTTCAAGCTGTGTGTTATGTCTGATGGGGTAACGATTCTATCTGTAGAGACTGTTCTGAAGTAAGAATCGTTTTGGAGCAATGGCCAACTAGTTTCACTTCTTGTTGATATTTTGGAAAACAATAAACATAAGCTTATGTTTCCAAAATTAAAAACATAAAGTCAAAACTTAAAAATTGCTACAAGAATAATATCGAATACAACGGATGAATTGGTAGCAAGTATATTAGCAGTTGATTAAGTTGGAAGTCCAACTAAAGATTCACAAATTGCATGAGGTAAAGCGACATTAAAAATGAGTTTGGTTTGCATTTCTTTTCATTTTCAATTTTTAATTTTATTCTGAATAGAAGTTCTTTTGATGATTCTTATTTTTATTGCAAGTTACTCTGCACGTAAGATACATGTAATGATCGGTAAGATGCAAGTGAAACGGGAATATTTTTCCGCAAAAGGGCAAAAGGAGTTACCACAAATAAGTATGGGCTATACATTCGAGAAAGAGCAATGTTTACTAAGCAATTACTATTACATATGGAAATATACTTATACGATGGAATGGAAGAGAGCCTGATCATCTTCAATTTAGTTGATTTTATTATACTATAATGAATTATGCTTTTCTTGAGAAAGCACTATGAGAATATAATATTCATGACACGTCCATAAAATTCAATAGTGATTACTTCACGACATTTAAATAACACAACATCTGAATCCTATCTATGCGTCGTGATGGTATTATTTATCACAACATTTAGATGCATCGAAAGATAGACAGCTTGCCATCTCATTGAACGTCACGTCCAAGTTTTTATTGCGATTAAGAAATCCATACATTCATTCAGTAAAAGTGACATGTATGTACCTCAGATATACACTAGATATTTAAACAAACAATTTTTTGCCATATTTTTCATTCGTAGTGCCCAATTGTTATTATCAAGGATGTTCTATGTTCTAAAAACAATAAGTTTCAGCTACCATATTTAATAAACAAGCAACCCATGTCAATCACATTGGATCTCGTCACTACTATTCCAAGGAGAGACTGTTTGCTTTCCCTCCTTAAACTTTTATGTGTGCATTAATTGATTTTATGCACACCATGAGAGAATTGTATCTAATAAGTGTGAGGTAGGGTTGAAATAGGAAAACACATGGTGGATGAATTTTGGGTCTAAATCAAAAAAATTATTTGATAAATTTTCATTGAAATGGAATTTATTAGTGTTATATATTAATTTGAATTGAATCCTATGATGTACTTTAGCTGATATGTTATAATATATATGTGGCTATCTAGCTTTAGTGAAATCAATTGTCAAAGTGGAGAGTTGTGTAGTTTGAGGGATACAATTTATTTTGCATTGTTTGTTGAAATAAGCCCTTGGAAATTTATATTCGTCATTAAACATTTGACTCAATTGTTAGCCAATATGGGTTTAGTTAAGTTTCCAAGAATATGTTTTAGTTTTTGAGTGAAGTGAAAAATGTTAGATATAATTGGTGGGTCAATAATAAATTATAAAGTATGAATATTGTGAAATCATGAAGAAAGTTGAAAGTTCCAAAAAGTCAAAAGTTGGGAAAATTCAAAAATTGTAGGAAAAAATGGCCAAAGTTTGCTAATATATTGCAAAGTTGTGAAAAAAATTTATGATCTTTTCTTGTTATTTTGAGTCTAGGAGATTGTGAACTTAGGAAACATACCTTAAGGTTAGGGAATTTTTATTCAATGGATGCAAAACTAAGTATTGTTCAAATTAACTGGTAAAATTTTATGAGGATTGTGTTAATTTAGAACTTAGAAAGTAATTAGGATTAAACATGGATATATGCATTAACGTTATATATAATTGGTGGGTTTAAATTTATTTATTTTGTGCAACGTAGGTAAATGAAGTTTTGATGTTATAATATTGGAATTGAGTTGCATTGATGAATTAAATGAATCTAGTTTGTTTGGGGAAATAAAAAGAAGAGTATGAGGTATTTTGATATAACGTTATTTATATATTTATTTTAGGCTATTGTCTTAATATATTGAGCATAAATGTTATATTTAAAAATAAATGATAATGGTAATGCTTTGAATTTGATAAATAAAGAAATCATTAGTCGCTAAGAACAAAATGAAGGGATTGGGACAAGAATCAAGCTAACACGGATCAAATTCAAAAAATTGCCCAAAAAAATCTTCAACACGCTGCATGATGAGGTGTTACGTGTTGCGGCCTAGCTTGACAATTTGATACAAATGTTGATACATGAGGCTATCTGTAATTAGGCCGCATTATATGAGCTTCTATAAATGCACAACGTTTTCAACCCTAACGAGATACCACATACAAGAAAAGATAATAAAAAATATATTCATCCTAAGATCCTTTTGGGTCAATCTCAAGGCTGGAGAAACACTTTGAAATAAAGATTTGAATAATAGAAAGCTAAGAGAATTAGGACTTCAATTTGGCTTGTTTTATGATCATGTTTAGCTATTCCATTTTGAGTTTTTTTTTTCTGTTTTTAATAACTACTTATGGGTTAAAACCCTTTTGCTTTCACAAGAGTAGATGTAACCTTAAAGTTTTTGTGTGATTTCCTTTAATCATATTATTAGTATTATTTAATTTATCATGTTTGTTTGGTTAAATGTTCATATGTGTTTTAGTTGATATCTTTATTTGCTTATAACCGAGTTAGTAGAGTTTAGAAGACCAATCTGACTTTGTTGGCTTAGATCATAGTTATTAATAATCATTAGCAATTATGACTAGAAATGAACGAAAGCCTAGGGTTAGATTAATAAAGTAATTAACTTTAATGTGATTGCATTAGCTAAGCAATCTATACACGGAATTGATTTCCATGACAATTGGGATCACTTACCCAATCAAATCTCTAATGATAAGAACTTATTAATAATTGTTTAGATAGTTAATTGCATCACCATTTTATTAATTGTGATAATAATTATAATGTTATCTAATCTGAGCAAGATTACCGACTAATAGAGAAATAGGTGAATATTACTAAATATTCATTGCTCTCTATTAGAATCCACAATAACTTAAAGGCATAGTTGAATCCACGTGAAAACATTTTTATCTCTCTTGTTTCTAAATCTAATTTCAAGTTTATGAATTTAAAAAACCTCTCATTTACTTTATTGTTTGTAGTTTAATTACTAACTGAATTATGTGATTTGGATCATTCATGTTCCCCTGTGTTCATATATGGTCTTACCATAACTATAATATTGCACGCTTAGGTACACTGTCTAGTGTGTATAAGAGTTCAGTTGCGATAGAATCAAATTTATAAATTTAAGACATTGATTATTAACTTTATATATAGTCAAACACACATCAGAAATCAACATAAGCAAAAGGGGTAAATCAAGTCTAAGTGAAAGTATTTTAATCAACCTGGATTGAAATTAGCTTCTCACTTTGCTCGTTATAGATTTGATTTGAATTTTTGTGTTTTATATAGAATTACTTGAAATAATTCTCCCAATTTATTTTTATGTTTTATTAAAGTTTTTGTTTGAATTTTTGTGTTTTATAGAATTACTTGAAATAATTCTCCCAATTTACTTTCATGCTTTATTAAAGTTTAGATGTTAAGATTTTTAGTTTACTATAAATCGTTTTTGTTGCTTTTGTGTTTGACAAATGGTCTTACCATCGCTATATTATTACACGATCATATTCAGCGTCTGAGTTCTGTAGCAGTCTAGATTTGGTAGAACATGTTTTTATAAATTTAAAAGCTGACTAAATAAGCCACATCGCGTACGGTATAATTCTTCTTGTTAACTCACTCCTAAAATCCAGCTCGTAAAAGGAAGGGACACCTAAAATTATAAGCCACCTACTTAATTTACTACCGATTGATATAAGATCGTAACAATACCCCACACTTTGGAGAGCCAATGTTCTCGTTGGCCACGGCTATATGGGTCATGTTTGGCACCCCCTTTTTGATACAAGCCATCACTCCGAGTTAGTGTTAGTCAAAGCTACGTTGGTCACGGTTGACGCTCCTCTTTTCATGTACAAGCCACACGCCCATACGCTACTACTCCAACTGTTGGAACCACGAAAGATGGGGATGACTCTGATACCAATCGATACGAACGGATCTCATACTAGGCCTATATCAAGCCATAAACCCAAGTGTTGAACTCACTCCCAAAAGGCAGTTTGTAAAAGGAGGGGACACCTACACTTATAAGCCACCAATTGAATTTACTTTCGGCCCATGATCGTAACACAAAGATACTCGGAGTAGATATATGTAACAATTTGTTCAGTGCAGTTAAAAATCAAGGATGGAAGAGAATAGAGCTTAAGCGATGAATTTGTTAGATTTTATGTCAAGTTACAAGCCATATAGCTCAAATAAGCTACATGAGCAGAGCAAAAAAGAGATAATAACAGCTCAAAGCAGAGCAAATATAGAGCTGTTGAAAAACAAGTGTTTCTATAACGAGTCCTTTTTGTGTGCTACATAAGCAAAACATGGGTGTAAGTTTGGCTAACTTTTTTATTTTTTGAACGAAAAGACTATATTAGAAAGACCCTAGCAAGGGAATGACAATAAAATAGAAGTACGTTCCTCCAATGGTTCTGCTTTTTTGGTTTCCCTCTTCATCTCCAAAGAAGCCATTGAAATGTTATACACGCAACTTGGAACAGCAATTTTTCAACAGTTTTTATTGAAATTAATAGAGATTAGAGAAAGTATAACAATGATATAAATAACATAAAATAATTTTTCTGATAATGGGTGGTAACACTAACTAGCTAAGTAGTAACATATATGTTAGAAAATGAATTTACAAGTAGGTTGCTTCTTCTTGTTCATCATAACCACGAATTCGTCATCACCCTGATGCCTCAACATGGTTCCAGTGGTTTGTAGCAGTGTTAATGAAAACTGTAGCTTTGCTATCAATTCGAGGATCAGCCCAACGTCCAGCTCTATCTTGATCACTTGGATACACTTTGTATGCCTTCATGGAATCATCCCAAGTATCATCCGTGCCTCCTCTTTGGCTCTTCTTACGTTTGAAGATGCTAAAGAAAGAAAAAGAAGACTTCCTGTGAGACTTGTGTCCTCCCATTTCTTTCAATGATCGGAAAAGAGCTGTTATGGATAGAAGAAGTGAAACTCAATTGATTTTTAGCTGTTTGTGTTAGCACAAGTGTATTTCTTGGTTTCTAGAAGTGATCACGCTTCCTACCGCTCAATTTATAGAGCCATGCTAGCTTTGTTAGGGTGAGACGTGAGTGTGAATCCAAGGCAAAAGAGAGAATCTTCAGACTAAGACGCAGAACATGTTACGACCACCTCTCCTTCAAATGTTGACTAGTAAAACCACTATGGACTTGTTATCGAGACCATTGTATTTGCCCTTTGTACTTTCTTCGCTTTTATGATTTGTCTTTTAAGTTAAAGGCATCCTGATTATTCTTCCACTCTTCTATTAATTAATGAGGATCATTATTTAGCTAGAAGTAATAAAATTATTAGGTCCGATTCACTTTGTGGTTGGGTACCTCTCTAGGGATTCGACTGCATATAATAGAAGCTTTTAATTCTCTAATGAAAATTGGCTTACTTTCATCCGCAAAGAAGTTTATGGTTTTGGTCTTTTGTAAATTGTAAGCTACATTTATTTGTATACTTATAATTATTTTATCATGGATAAGGTTACTTAATGTGATATATACAGTATGAGCATGTACTCGGATTTATCAATGATTATTTTCCAATTTTGAAAATGCTTATATGGAGGTTTAAATTATAATATATATGTTTTTTCATTGGTGGAGCTACTCATATTTATCCTCGTGATGAATGATTGAAAGCATTGAATAAAAAATAATTTTCTTGATCCACCAAATTCTATTAACAAAATTTAAAAGACTTTTACAAAGACGATCTAATTTTGGGAGTTTCACTTATAGATTTTATTGTGAATAATATATACATTATACAAATATAACATTTGGTTTCTACAATATCGGCACTAATTAGTTTGTCCCTAGCATTATTATGCATCTATATATTGCTTTCAAAGTATAGATAAATTTGGTTTATTTAATAATCGTAGGACAATTTTTATCTCAACTCTGTAAAGAATGTGGCATATACAATTATATACTATTAATTTGTACGTATTTTCTACTTCTTGTTTATTTATTTACTTATTTATTTTTTTTTGTTCACGGTCAAAGATAAAGAAAGGCACAAGCTAATGACTTAAACTTCCTAACTTGAATCCTTACAGTGTACATTACAATCAACAGCCACTAAAAAGAATATGGTAAAAAAACATACGTTTGTGACACCCTCTTTTATTTTATTAATGCCTTCACAATATCCTTCACTCTTAAGGAAATCGTAAAAGCTTGAGGTGTTGAAATTAAGTAAGAGAGTGAAATATGAAAGCTGTAGGCTGCATATAAAAATAGGACTGGTTGAAGCTAGGGTGGAAGCTTTTGGTGGCCGAGCTAAAAGTTTTAAGATTTATGGTCGACACAGCGCAGGTGAGAATATAATTGAAAGAGGAAAAAAATGTGACTTGATTTATGTTTAAAGGAGTAGAACCATTTACAGTAAAATCAATTTAGACGATCAAAATTTGGTACAACCACGATAAAGAGGCAAAAAGTAGCGTATGTTCTTCGTGAAGGGCGCATCAATAGATGAACCACAATTTTTCATCCCTTTTTGATAACTATCGTAAAACAATTATATTTTATGGTCCACGTTGGATCTTGGAAAAAAGCTAACTTTTTAAAACAAGCATATATGATGATTTTTAAGAAGTGCTTCCCATTATATGTTTTGGGTTTCTCATTTAATCCATCCTTCAAAGAATTAAATCAAGCATTACTAACTAGTCCGCGACTTTGATTTTGACGGTAAATCGAAGGGATACTTTTCGTTTTAAAGTTCTCTTGTTCCCTTTGGTTATTAATCGGTCATTGTGTTTTGATATTTAGCTTTCAAAGATGCAAATATAAGTGGACATGGAAAATAAATTATTTTAAAAGAGAATCTTCCCTTTTCGGCCAACATAGGGGCAGTACAAAGCTAGCCTAGGAAACCAACCAGAAACAAACAGTTTCTATGAAAAAAGTAACGAAGCACCTCACACAATCTTCCTTGAACTTCTTAGATCCCACCAGGCCACCATTAGGCAATTAGATTTTGATTTGTTACTATTCAACCCAAATCTTATTCAATTGATTTTGAAAAATGGTAATTTCCTTAGACCGATCGGTATGGGCCACAACGAACGAAGTGGCTGACCTGGATGGCCACAACGTTGTCATAACAGGGGGAACACCACCCCCTACTTGTTGCTTCTCGTCGTTTTACAATTCGTGCTCGTTACCACCGGGTGAAACGGGGCGTTTGTTCTCCAATTTCTTCTGTTGTTCTTCTTTAATCTTGCCTCACAACGGCGTTGTGAGTTGGAATACCACCCTTGAAATCTGCCTCACAACGGTTTATGCCTATGTGGCATTTCAACGGTGGTTTTTTTTGTTGCCCGTACCATACAGTCTTATAAAAGATATCTCCTCATTAGAGATGTACGTTAGCAGTTCCAGACCGGTCTCCGATCGGTCCCATATTTTAGGAAACGGTCTAGGGATAGTCCGGTCTTTCTTCAGTCCAGACGGTTTCAAGCCGATCTTTTTTTTTTTCGCTCCGGTCTTCTTTTGGTCCAAACTTTTTTTTGGACTGCTCTCGGTTTTTCGGTCCGGTCTCCCAGTCTTTGCGTATACTTTTTTCGATCCGGTTTCGAGCTTTTTATGGTTTGGTTTTGGTATTTTTGGATTTTTCGTTTCGTTTTCTAGCTTTTCCGCTAACAAATGTGTGAATACCACCAAAATTATATATTACCATTTACTAAAAATGATACACTAAAATTTAATTATAGAAAGAAGTTAAAAAGATTGGGTAATATATGATTAAAAAAATATATAAAATTAACACAAAAATAACGTGTATACAAACTTTGGCTTCAACTATTTTTTTAGATCGGTCTCGGGTTTGGCTTAGACCGATCTAAGGCGGTGTCGTAACACTCCAGTCTTCTTTTTAGCCCGTTTTGGAACGATCCTTTATTTTTCCGATTGGGATCGGGTCTGTCTTCATGTAATGAGATACGAATATGTTCATATATATATATATATATATATATATATATATATATATATATATATATATATAAAAGTTTAAATGTGGACATACCTCAATTGTGCGGACATACATCACGTATTTTCACTAAGGTGTTACCGAATTTTTTTTTATGATTGTCATTATATTAGAATGTGTTCTTGATATTCATATTCTATAAGAGTCATATTCTATAAGAGTAAGAACTAGTAAAATAGGATGTGTGAGAACAAAAATGAATAAGAATTACTTTGAATGCATGATAACGACAATATTTATGTGAGGTTAAACATATTTACATTATCAAACAACCTATTATATTATAATAGTCATTATGATAGAATAACATGTTTTACACACGTGCGCCAAATACATCTCATCCACAATTTAACCTATCCCTTTATATATATATATATATATATATATATATATATATATATATATATATATATATATATATATATATATATTATATATATATGTTATTAAAATCATTCGACGGGCGACTAACGTTAAACGAATAATCGGAGTAGATGGGGATTAATTGGAGATTAATCGTGAACCCTAAATTATTAATAAAAATAATTATAAAATTAATATTTCCTAAAAAAATAAGTATTTGAAAATTTTAAATTTTAAAATTTTGTAAATGTTAGTATAATATTTTGAAATTTGAAAGCCTAAAATTTTGGTGTAATAATTGAAAATTAAAATATTTGACTTTTTTTAAATATTTCCCACCGAGGACCTCCGATGACCGCCAAGCCCGTGTTTGACCGATTTTGACCAATTTCCGTCAAGCACCCTAATCGTAATCGGTTCAAAGTTGGCAAGTGATTAATCGGTCGCCAAGGGGTTTTCTGCAACATTGATATATATATATATATATATATATATATATATATATATATATATATATATATATATATATTATATATATATATATATACACACACACTAGATGTGTGCCCGCGCAAAGCAGTGACGATAAATAGTTTTTTTGACGAATAGTTTTCTTACTGGAAAATAATTATTAGATTTTTTATTATTTATTATGTAGTAAGAAAAATTGCCACTTTTAATTAAAATGTTTATGTTTAGAACTTATATTTATATTGTAATTTTATACATTTGATTTAATTAATTATTATCTGTATCTAATTTAAGAAAGGTAAATTAACATATATTGATGAATTTAATATTTTAAAATTGTTATTTTGGCCAAATTAATTTATTAATAACCTTCCTTAATTCAAGTCTTCAAAATTTTGGTAAGTATTAACGGTTTTGTTATGCATAATTGATTTGTCCAAAAAGCTTTGTATATTGTACCTCTTAAAATTCAAGATATGACTAATATTCTTTATATATAGTATAAGATAATATTTCTTAAAAAAATAAGTATTTGAAAATTTTAAATTTTAAAAATTTTAAATTTTGTAAATGTTACTATAATATTTTTAAATTTGAAAGCCTAAAATTTTGAAAATTTAAAATTTTGGTGTAATATTTGAAAATTAAAATATTTGATTTTTTTTAAATATTTCCCACCGAGGACCTCCGAGGACCGCCAAGCCCGTCTTTGACTGATTTTGACCAATTTCCGTCAAGCACCCTAATCGTAATCGGTTCAAAGCCGCTAAGTGATTAATCGGTCGCCAATGTGTTTTTTGCGACATTATATATATATATATATATATATATATATATATATATATATATATATATATATATATATATATATATATATATATATACATACTAGATTTGTGCCCGCGCAAAGCAGTGACGATAAATAGCTTTTTTGACGAATAGTTTTCTTACTAGAAAATAATTATTAGATTTTTTTTATTAGTTATTATGTAATAAAAAAAATTACCACTTTTAATTAAAATATTTATGTTTAGAACTTATATTTATATTGTAATT